AGTCAACGGCCACCAAGCAACGCGGTGAGGGAGGCACCTGCCCTGGGCCACGGAGACAGAGGAAACAGAGGGACAGAACTGGGCAGAGAGGGCAGAGCAGGAAGGAGAGCAGAACCAGAAAGACACACAGGGCAGCAACACCCAAGCAAACATCCGAGGAGAAAGAGTATTGAGAAAGATGCCCCTGGAGGCTTGGAGGTGAGCTTAGGATAATGGGAACACCAAGACTCCCCTCAGACACACCCCTAGGGACACACATACTTGCACCCGCCTGATCCGGCAGAGGGTGAGGGAGGAGCCTGAAGACGCACCTCTGACCCTAATACCAGGACTGGGAGGCCCTGCTCGCCAGCCCCTCTGTCCAAGTTTCCACCCTTCCCACTGCAGGCCCCACTGACCGATGTGCAGTTCCAGGATGACACGATCGGAGGACTCATAGGGCCGCGACAGGTAGAGCACCATGTGGAAAGGCTGCCCGCGGCGCAGGATCAGCTCATCGTACTCGAACTCGTCCGTGTGGTGCTCTCGGCGGTTCTGGTCCGAGCGTGAACACATGAGATCCACACCCGTCACCACCAACATGCCCTCTGCAAAGTCACAGCTCCTGGTCAGCAAAGCGCCCTGGTGAGCCCAGGCCCCCAGCATTAGCCTCCCAGGCTCTCCGAGATGCCAGGGGGAGTCCCAGTCCCCACGGAGGCCTGTGGCTCTCAGCTCAGGCGGACAGGCCAGCCTCACCTCGGATGGCACCGTCTCCGGCCGCGTTCACACCGCTGCCCCGTGAGATAGGCCGGCGGGAGTCTGAGCCCCGGGAGCCAGGTCTTCGTCCCCCAGAGCTGGACCCTCCACCCCTGTCTCTGTGGGGCTCAGTCCCCCAGTCATCATCTGCCCCACTCCGGCAGGAGCAGCAGCTACAGCATCGAGCCCAGAAGGAACGGCTTCCTCGGCGGGACCGTCTGTCCGGCTCCGGCTCCGGCTCCGGGGAGGGTGAGGTGGGGGGCTGCCAGGGGCTCACGCCCCAGCGGCCCACATCGGATCGAGGACCGTCCATCATGTCTGCGTGGAAGAGGCAGGGAGGCTCGGGTCAGTCACCCTCCAGGTTTCCTTTCCCCAGGACACCCGGCCAGCCCAGCCAGAAACCCGCCAGGCAGAGGGCTGCTTTGATGCCAACCAGTGACTAAGATGGGCTTATTTTTGATCCAGAGATTCCCCAGACCCATCCAGAGACCCTCCCTGAAGACCCCGCTCAGGCTTTACCTCGGAAACCTCCGCCCTGAAGCGGGGAGGCGCCCCCCTCCCCAGACACCCAGCAAACCAGGTGCCCAGTGGAGAGACCTGCTCAGACCCGTCCTCAAGACCCAGCAGGCCATCCCCGTCCTGCTCCCGCCACACGCCGCTCCTCACTCTAGGACAGCGATGGCGAACCTATGACACACGTGTCAGAGGTGACACGCAAACTCATTTTTTGGTTGATTTTTCTTTTTAAATGGCATTTTTCCATATTAGTCTTTGAAAGTATGGTTTTATTGGTTATGAAACTTAATTATAGCATCATTTGTTAACCATTTATATTACTGTAATTACTTAGGTGACCTTCCTGATAATACATATTTCATTACCTCTTGGATTACTTCCTTGGATTACATAGTATAAAATATACTAACATTGTTTAAGGTTCTCGAGGATTCTTTCTTTCCTCCTTTCTCTCTCGTTCTTTATTTTTCCCGTTCTTTCCTTCCCTCCTTCTCTCCCTTCCTCCCTCCCTCCCTCCCTCCCTCCCTCCCTTCTTTCCAAATATATTTTTATTGATTTCAGAGAGGAAGGAAGAGGGAGATAGAAACATCAGCTGCCTCCTGCACGCTTCCCCACCGGGGACCAAAACCACAACCGGGCATGTGCCCTGGGCTGGAATCAAACCGGGGACTCTTCAGTCCACAGGCTGCGCTCTATCCATTGAGCCAAACTGGCTAAGGCTCTTTCCTTTCCCTCCCTCCCTCCCTTCCTTCCTTCTCACTAGAGGATACTAGTATCTTTCCATTACTTTTTAGAGAGAGAGAGAGAGGAAAGAAGAGAGAGAGAGGGAGATGAATTAGTTGCCTCCCACCCGCGCCCGAACCGAGAATTAAACCCACAACCTTTCTCTCTACTGGGTGATGCCCCATCCAACCCAGCCACCCGGCCAGCGAGGACCCATTTCCTAGCAGAGATTCCCCACCCAACGCTCCTGGCAAAAGACAAGCGGGCGAGGAGTGAGGCTTGGGTCCCTGACATTCCCGTCGGGTCAACCCGGCGCGGG